TGTGAATTTCCATCCTCATTTGTCTTTTGTCTTCTTCATCTCTGTTCTGTCTCAATGTTTAGATCTTTTGTTTTCCGTCCAGGAAGAGATTTTGGCAATGTCTGTAATCCTATTTACATGAACAACATTTCTGGAATTTTGACTTAAGAGAAGTATTGTTTAAAACTTTGTATGTATCTCTCCATTGTGGACTCATACACTATGACAAACTTTCTCATTAATTTATCACTACATCTTCTCATTTTTCGCTGTCAACTTGCTCTGGCAAAGGAATAACCTGGTGTCGAACTGGCCGTTTTAGATGTGAGGCATAATTTTTTGTGGAGCATTGAATACTTCCTCCAAATTTCTTTTTTTCTTATCTGCGGTGTGCTTATGGGCTGGAGTCATTTTTTGTAGCGAAATTTAAGCGTGTGTTTGAAATGGAATCATTCGTAAAGGTCTCTCATGAGCTCATATGGAAAAGCGGTGACTGTTTAACCACTTTAAACGAAGAATAGCTCTCACTCGCTGCACACATATAAATCTTGTAGTTAGAAACAGGTCTTTCCTATGGTAAGCTTAGAACTTTTATGTAGAACTGGTCGGATCTGTGTATGTATTTGCTGTTCTATACCATGCGGTATTAACAAGAAACTGTTTGATGTGCTTCTACTCCTGTTCTATTTATAATAGTTGAAGCTGCATATACAGAAAAAAATTTGTTGTTGAGTATTATTAGTCTTTTATGGTGCATCTGTCTCTCAGCTTTCACATATTTTACAATGTCAGTTATAGGCTGTTGGTACTGCACTACCATCAGCGAGGAACCTCTATCAATAAAAAAAACAATGAGGAGTGACGGGCACAAGAATGGGAGGCCGGAGTCACGCTAATGAAGGTATCTGTCTGTGTTTTATTGCTAATGATATCGACATATAACAGTAATCAATGTCTTCAAACCACTGACCTTCTTTTTTCTAATCTAAAGCTTTTCCAAAGTACCTTCAATGTTGTGCTTGTTTTCAGGGGGGGGGGGGAACATTAAGGGCACCGTCCATCCAAATTGGGGTCGATTAAGAGATTTTGATGCCTAACAATGACGGTCCCCTCAACTGTATATTTGCCCAACTCGCACTGCCAAGAATTGCTTCAGACATCGCTTCCGATAACGGAGCCGTCACGTTGGCACCTTCAATTTGAGTGGGCATCAATTCGTCCCGCCTATCCGTGCGCACAGCCAATCACCATTTCGATGAACTTGCCTTGCGGTTTCTGCGGAACGGGGTTTCGGAATCAAGCACATGAGAAGGTCTCGAAAGACAAAATCTTGGCAGCCGGGATTGAGTGTACGCTGCCTTTAAGGCAAGTACCTTTGTTTCACGTGGTTCTAATAAGACCAGACCAGTTACCATTCCCAAATTTCTGCCGTAAGTGGTTTGTACTCTTCTCATAAGTTGTCCAAAACCAAGCTGTTTGGTTTATTAAGCTGATTAAAGAATTCTCAGTGAAGCATGGAGATCCAAAACCGCTTTGAGGCAAGACAAAGCATCCATGTTGAGATTGCAATCCATCTGAGTACCGCCCCCCCCCCCCCTTTTCCGTTATTCGCTGCTGCGTCAAGCTTCTGGCACATGGTGACATCTGAACCTCTGGTTTGCCTTGTGCGCCCACCTGTTCTCATTCCTTTTTATTTAACACCATATGTACACCTATTTGCATAATCACTTTGATCTCGATAGTTATAGCGTTACTCTTGGATGTGTTTGCTACTTTATTAGATGAATAAATGATATTAGGTCTAGAAATATTTCCTTTTTTCAGGCAAAATCTAATTTTGAGTGCGTTTTTGGTGTCTAGAGCTGGTTTAAGTAGGTTTAGAGCCTATAATTGGGGCTTTAGAGCTCAATTAAGGCTATTGATTCTGGAAAACTGCGGAGCAAAAATCTGGAAAGGTTTTGGGTAACAATTGGGATACCCACTGCAGGAGGGGCGTCCTTAAATGATCCCGAGGTCTCAACATCCACTATGCATGCGCATACTTTCAGATTCCAACGCGCGGGGCGGCTGAAAAGGTCGGTTTCGAAGCGCTACAGACTTATTACAAGCAACAATGAGGAGCGTTCTCTCTTTCCCAAGTATTTTTTGAATTTTTGAAGCAATCGTTGGAACATATTCACTGTTGAAAACAACACGTGCGTTGGCAGAGGCCTGTTTACGCTGGCGCTCAAGGCACGGCGTAGACACTTAGGTTTCAAGAAGCCAGTAATTTACAAACTTTTGCAAAACCATATATGGTGAATTTTTCTCGAAAAAGTAGCAGTTTTACAAAGAGAGTTTCATTTATTTTTCAAACACTCCATACCTTCTCCTAAAACAATCATCAATTTTCTCAGTCCTTTGAAGAACGAAATTACGAGTTTATTGTTTAAGAGCTGATTAAAAATTTATTTTAAGTCATTGATTCTTTAAGTAAAATTTCACATGAAAGCCAAGGAACACTATGTAAACATCGTCAGCGATAGCCGAATGAAGTTTTCATAAAAAAAATCAATAAAGGAATTTTTTTAGACTAAGTAATCGTCCGAAAGTATAGGAAAAACCTTACAGATGACCTAATATGTCTAAATGACTTTTATTTTTTTTCTTGTTATGCAAATTCTATTAAGTAGTCGCAGATCTCCGCGCATTTTGAAGAAACCGTACCGCTGCACAAACTTCTTCATGAGATGGAAGCGGTGATAATGTTGCGATGCTTATGAACTTTACTGCACCGATATCTAAACGCATCTCGTCCGCAACTTTTTGCACAAGTTTTTGAATTATTGTTTCGTTTAGCTCATCGATTTTCTAAGCTAAGGTTGGTGCAGGGTGTCCTAAAAAATGTACACACTTTTCAAGCTTCAGTAACCCGCTTGCTTCGATTTCTTTTGTCGACTTTTAGTTACCATTCTATGGAGATGGCTTATCTAGATCTATAGTGTTGAGCAGATTACAGTACAATTTCTGATTCTTTCGTGTTACTGTAGGATCACGGTAGGAAGTTTCAGCATACTGCGCCATGGTATATTGAACCGTTTGATGAGAAATTTGCAAAAAATAGAAAGTTTTGTATCAGGGAAACCTTGCTGACTTCATTAGCAACTTTTTAAAAGATTTCTAAGCTTTTTTGGAGGTGTAATCATATTTTTGAAAACAATGGAAGGGCAATGTTTTTTTGGTATAACTAGAAGGAAGCATGACCCTGGTGTGCAAATTTTATATCTGAAATCAGCGACTCCTATCAGTTCAGCATGAGAGTTTTTGGCCTCTTTGGTTTTACTTTGAGGCAAAATGGGATTTTTAACGGTTTGAAACACTCTTTAAAGTTCTTAACATCTTCAGTTACGGAAAAATACCATATATTTGTGCTGTACGTCATGGGGTCTCACCCTAAACAAGGAAAAAGGCGTTGGTTTAACAAATGAATATGATCGCGTTCGGCAGGTCAAATAACCTTATTATTTAAAGTCTCGGCGAATTTGAGCTTCGGACTCTTTAGTCATTGATGGTCGCCCCCAGCAGCTTTTGCGTACATCGACTCGTTCGTTTAGTGAGGACGCCAAATCTCGACATGCCCCTGAATTTTATTCCTTCTTTCTAGACCAAAGGAGTCAACCTCCAGCAATAATTTGTAGATGAATCCGGATTACTGCGCATGGTCTAGGCTGCTAAAGGCTTCATTTTAGCTTGAAACCCCAAAAATTCCCAAATTTCACTAGTTTTCGAAAAATGCCTAAAACTTTTCTATTTCGAGTTAAAAATTTAGACAATTTGTGCTCACTTTTTTTTCACATTGCATTCTACATAACGCCAACGTTTGAGTGCGCCATGTTGAATGAGAGTGAAGTTATGAAACCAGTTGCAAAACTTAGTATTCAACCTAATACATATCTCCATTTCATCTTCAAAAAACTACTAGTTTTTTACCCAACAACCTACATACCTTTAGAAAGCCCACGAAAAAGACATTTGACATAGACCGTCTCTTTTTGTCTAGCTTTCCTCTACCTAGAGATACCTGGCATTCTAGCTAAAAACATATGTGTTTTTATCAAGAAATTCCTGCGTGAAGAATGAATGAAGGTGCCTGATTGTCTAACAGTATCACAGAGCAAGACCTTGCCAGTAGTCGTGGACCGTCTTTTTTGCTTTCCTCTTTTTTCGGAAATGGAGCTTAAAGTGATTGCATTGAATCAGCTGATGCTGGAGCTAGATATGATTTTTTGTACTTGAATTTACAGGAGAGCTGGAAAAAGAGACAGTCTACGTCGATTTTGTATGTTCCAAGCTTTCGAATGATATGTTGACTGATGAGACATAAAGCTTTCCTGAGCCAAAAAAGTCTCTGTTGGATGACCAACAGAGATTACATTACACCTCTGTACCATTTATTTTCCTTCTTTTCTCTCCCACTCTTAGACCTGTAAGCTTGCTCAGCATTCATCTCAGACCCAGGTACCTCTTTCACTTTTCTATGTAAGAAATTAGACAGAACCCCTTCACCTGGAGGGGACCCTGCTCCCCCTATCGCACCTATGATTTACCACAACTGATGTCCACGAGTAAAGATTACGATGTAATTAACATAGCGTTCCGATTGTACACAATTGCCTAAGAAAATCGTTGCATTATTATAATTACCAGCAAAGTTTTTTTGAATTCCACTCATTATCGTGGTACAGAACGTTAATTTGAGAACAGTTTATATGCTTCTTATAGGCCAAATCACTAGATCATTCAATCTTAAAATAATGTGTTAATAGACTCCAAAGCCACCATCTTTATATCTAAGCATTATGAGAAATTTAGAATTTGCCATCAGAATTTTCCGTAGATATTGGTATTTTACTCCCCGCAACATCAACTTTTTTATAAACAGACCTTCTCTTAGGACGGCCAAAAGTGTTGCAGTAGTTTGCTGCCTGTGATGTGTCTCGTTTGGTGAAGAGAACTGCTTCTGCTTGTAAAACGAATCTTGCAATGAATGTATTAGATTCAAACACTTTTACAACCAATTTGTGAATAAGTGAACTGAGTTTGCTTGAGTCTAAGCTCAACATATACCGCAATCTTTGCCACAGAATCTCCTCTTGTACTCATAAGGATAGAAGGTATTATTACAGAATCCATTTCTATTCCATATCGCACATCTAAATTGAATTTGTGAGTACAAAATTGATGTTTTTTGACTTGCCTCTGGTGTGCTCCACAAGGGATAGTTGTGTCGGACTCCTTTGAAGCGGAAGTAGGAACTAGAAAAATGCACATACAGGCATGACTTTTGCTGTGGACATTCGAATAACAGAAAATTGGTTTTTATGAGACAAAGCTGATTTCTCGCTTTCGTTGGTATTTTTTCTGGACTGTGTGTTTTCTTGATTTTTGGTAATTTCTCTGAAAACTGAAGGCATATTTGAACGAATATGAAGTACACAGAATTCCATTGGTTTAGATGCTGGTGATGCGTAAAGAATGACTTTGGGCAGCAAAGTGTTGGACCTCTTCATTCGTAGTGAGAAAATCCTATCACAAAGCATTAGGCCTCCCATAGTTCAAGAGCGATTTCATCGCCTCGCGGTTCTTCATGACAACTGCTACGAGTTCATTGTATGCCGATCCTCAAGCATTTCGGTTGTGATAGTTTTCCTGCACGAGTCATCACGACTAACTATCATAACCGAAATGCAAGTTGACTCGCTTGCAATGGACTTGTAATAGTTGTCTTGACGCGAAAATTGCAGGCGATGAAATCGAGTGAAGTATGCCCGATGCTAAGATAACATTTTTATCGTCCACATAACTAGCGTTAATCATGTCTTTCATGAGAATTTATCGCTATACATCGTCCACACCCTTCACACTTAAGAACCATCACCATAATCAGCTGCTATGTCCGCCATCGACAGTTAATAAACTAGAGATTTTCTAGACTTAACGCAAAAAAAAAACTCTTTTCATAAACTTCTTGTGAGCGATTCCGTTACAAAACTGATCACTGGAATAGAATTATAGGGTCAGAAAATTTAAGGGAGGGGGGGGCAAAATACGAATGGCAGCCGTCTGGTTGCATATCTTTTCATAGCACGCCTTTTCTATAGAGAATTCATCCAAATGCAAAGGTGAAACACGGTAAAACACGGTTGCCTTAAGAAGTGTTGCAATGAACTCTGACAAGGGAAGGCTATTTGGTTGAAGTGGTGTTTCCGTACAAGATGTGCACCATCTTATAGAACACAAAACGCTGATTTCAAACCTGCTTTCATTATCTGAAAAGCGATTCTGGGAGGGGAATTATGGAAATTTTATGCGCAAATTTGAAAGCACCGCTACAATAAAATCATCCAGAGCTTTAGTCCGTGAGTTCACATGGGGCATACCCTCGATACATAGAGCCACGTACTCTGGTAACCTTCACGTTGAGGGCTATGAGGGGCACGACCTTCACCTGGAAAAAATATAGAAGTCATCCGGGGCTTCGCCCCGGATGTTATTATCCTAACTATTGGAACGAATGTTAATGAAGCAAATATAGGGAGTAATATCTTTAGCTTATCTGAGCGAAACCGAGAATTGCGTTTTCATAGCTTTTGCGTTAAAAAGAAGGTTTCTGTGGAATTTTCGCCAGAATTCAGGACAAAATATCTCAGTTAACCTGTCATTTGAACAAAAATCGAGTTTCAAAAGATTAGGAAAGCTATTGGATTTAAATGAGAACGAGAAACTGCGCTTAAATTTCGCGCAGAGAGTCGCGCACCAAAACGCTGGTCTGTCTCATTAATGAGTGATTTTCAGAGCTTGGGACGTTGTCAGTTCTCCTCGTCGTGTCGTGACGATCAGAATGATATATAACGTTGCAGGGTTTCGTTGAGACCCCGCGGAGATCTACGACCAGAGCCAAATGCCCCTTCGGCTCTGGTCTGTCTCCGCTGCTTGTCTGCGCCTCCGCGCGCTGCGCGCTACCTCGCTACCCCAAACGCGGGGCGCGGGCATTTGGCTCTGGTGCCCTTTTCTTCGCTGTTTCGAATCCAAATTTAGCAAGCTATATATCATTTTGAAGCTCTTGATCTCTATTTTCACGCTGACAACGTCCCAAAACCACATTTTTTGATTTGACCGAGAAATCCGGCAAGAACCTTGTTTTCGAAAATCTCTTGTTTTTCTCTTAGTTTAACTATTTTCACGCGGTTTTTTCGTGCATTCTATAGATCTTGCTTCTGTTCATAATGCAGACAACCACCCATCCTTTATCTCTTCAATTATTGTGGAATTTTTTGCGAAAAATCGTAAAAAGTGCGTTTTTCTTCACCTTGTTCTGTTTCAGTGCTTTCGCACCGATTTTTTCCAACTTGGGAGACTGTTAGAACAATAAGCGCAACAATCCAGACAACGTCCCAGGAAACAGGAACGTCAATGCGGGGGTAAAATTTCAAAGGACGCATCAAAAATCAAAACCCCGTCTTGCGAATAGCTGGTCCTGGAGCGAAAACTTGCACTTTGAAAAGCCGCCAAATGAAAGATTTCAAATTTCATTGCAGCGTTTTTATCCAGTTTTCAGCAGTTTCGTATGCTTTTTAAGACTGTTTTACGTCATTTTCTCCCCTCTAGTCTTCTTCAAACAACCTTCACTATTTATGATGTCAGATGTTCAAACAACCTTCACTTTTGACGCCCTGTCTCTAGATTATAGAAGGTAAGACATGGGGCCATGACCACCACCGGGTGCTTTATGCAATGAATACCTAGAATTTGTAAACTTATGTCAGTCATTACTCCTTTCAAGCGCAGGAAAGAACTCAACAATTGTTTTCACCTAGCCAAATCAATGTGCATTTTAGCTCAAAAAATTCCTAGTACTTTCCTTCCGAAAACGCTTTGCAGATAAAGAAAGCAGATTTGGTATTAGCGTTCCATGCTTTATAAAATGGTACACATTTTATATGGAAACGCCATCAACAAAGTACCCTTCCTTTGTAAGACTGATCACTGACAGTCCATCCCGCTGAGAACTTTACTGAACGCCGAGCCTCTCCATATTTGGCGCATTTCAATCTTAAAACCGTCCTTGACTTGTACAATAGAAAGGCGAACAAAAGAACTTCAAGAAAACAGTTTGGTTTGCCAACTGAACATGCTGTGCAAGTACACAAAGACGATTTTACATAGCTGATTGAAGCTAAACTGGAACAAGCTGATTCGCAAAAAATAGCTGCGTGCTTTCATACAAATGGTTTTATAATGGGTGCAAAAAGCAACTCTTCTAAAAAGCAACTCTTCTTCTCTCTTCTAAAACTTCAACTACAACAAAGCCTCCCACAGCGTCAATCATCGCATTATCAATAATGTACTCTAGCAACGCGGTTCAGTATCAACAAATTCCTGTTCAGAGCGAGTTACACTTCTTGTAAAGCGCATGATTTCGGGACATAACGTATTCATGTTTCCTTGCAGTAGCCAGATTAACATCTGTCAGCATATCTCCGTACATACCTTCGATAGTCAAGAGACAGAGGCTAGAAAGTGATAGTTGTTTGAGTTCCTGCCCTCTATGAAAAGTGAAAGTTGTTTCAGAAAGATAGATGGAAATTTAGAGATATGAATTAAGCCAGGAAACTTGAAAAATTCATAGCAGAGGTCAGCACATCACCAAATTTGAAATCTTAACTTGGTGGTTTCCTATGCACAGTTTTGTCGTCAGGATTGCCGGTTAAGTTGGGTGGCAACAAGAACAAAGTTCATTTTCAAGTGGAAAAACGCGCTGTTCAGCTGTGGCGGTAGTTGGGAGAGACCGAAAGAAGGAAAACTTGTCAACAAGTGAATTGAACATGTTAAACATGTATGAAAACTTATGTTGCACATCGACGCCAATCTGATTTTTGATGCGTCCTTTGAATTTTCGCCCCCGCATAGTCGTTTCGTATCCTACGACGTTGTCTGGATTCTTCCTCTCATCATTCTGAGCAAGTATCGTCCAAGCTGGAGATAATTCGTTGCAAAGCATTGAAAGGGAACAAGGTAAAGAAAAACGCACTTTTTAGTAATTTTCACAAAAAAAACCGGCATAAGCAAAGAAGTAGGCTCGGCGACATTGTCTACATCATAGACAGAAACAAAACCTATCGAATACACAAAAAAAACCGAGTGAAAAGAGTTAAATTGAAGAAGAAACAAAAGGTTTTCGAAAACGCCCTTTTTCCCAGATTTCTCGTTTAAATCATAAAAAGGAGTTTTGCGACGTTGTCAGAGTGAAAATAGAGATCAAGAGCTGTAATATGATATATAGATTGTCGAAATTGTGCTCCGAACACCGAAGAAAAGGGTACCAGAGCCAAATGCCCCGCGCCCCGCGTTTGGGGTAGCGAGGTAGCGCGCAGCGCGCGGAGACGCAGACGAGCAGCGGAGACAGATCAGAGCCGACGGGGCATTTGGCTCTCGTAGTAGACCTCCGCGGGATCTTAACGAAACCCTACAACATTATATATCATTCTGATCGTCATGACACGACGAGGAGTACTGACAACGTCGCGGGTCTTGAAAATCACTCCATAACGCGATAGACCAGCATTTATGTGGCGACTCTCTGCGCAAGATTTGAGCGCAGTTTCTCGTTTTCGTTGAACTCCATCGGCTTTCATAAACTTCCAACGCTCAATCGCAGTTTAGAGAAAGGTTGATTGAAAAATTTTGTCCTAGTTTTTAATTGAATTTTTAAATAAAACTCTTCTTTTCAGCAAAAAAGGCCCTAAAAACGCAATCTTTCGGTTTTTTGAGCTTCTTTTGACTGTCACTATTATATTTGGTCTTACTCACATTCATTCCTATAGGTTATGTCATTCCTTATGTCATATATCCGGGGCTTCGTCTCAAATGACTTCTGTACTTCCAGGTGAGGGTTGTGTTCTATCATGACGGTCAAAGTGAAGGTTACCAGAGTACATGGCTCTATGTATCGAAGGTATGTCTCCGTATCATGTCATTCAACCACGCTCCAGCTCTGTTTCAAAAAGCTCAAGAGTTGCTGTTTCGCCCTTGAAGAGGAGTATGTTGAAGTCCGATACTTACCAGAACCATTTCAAACAGTGGTAGTCGGTTTCTAACAATAAGTAATGGTAGTTGAATTAAGCCGTTTGATACTAACCAAGTCCATTTTGAGTAGTGGCAATTGGCTTTTCAGTAGTGGTGTTTGCTGGAGTAGTGGTGTTTGTTATATCACAGTAACCGCATGTTTTCTTGCACTGTTCCTGGAAATATCGTTTGAAGTTTAATTTTTCAACTTCTTTCGTAACTCTACTTTTTTGGATATGGCCCATTCAGACTCTGGCAATGTGTAGATCGTGATGTATGCTACAACTGCTCACAAACCGAGGAATTTCAAACACGAACTGGAAGAATTCCAGACATTTTTCGAAAGCTATGATTTTCGAGATTTTTCCGGTCAAAATGAGCAGGAAAGTCAAAATGAAGCCGCTAGCAGCCTAGACCATGCACATAATCTGAAGCTGTGTAGGAATCTGCTAAATTTTACTCCGTCCGGGTAAGAAGGCAATCAGATTTTGAGGCAAGTCGAGATTTGTCGCCCTCATAAAATCGAACGAGCCTCTTTTCTTGTTAAAGGTGAGAAGACCCTATACCGTGAACCTACAGCAATCTTGCAAAAAAAAACCACCACTATGCAACTTCAGTACCGTTTTCGCAATCAGCATGACGGAGATCAGCATCTGCTAAGTTTCAGTAAAATCGCTATATGTTACAAGTTTCTCCGCTATATCAAATACCTGCCGTAACCTTCACTGCGACTTGAGTAGCGGTATGTATCAATCGCTCGTTCGGGGATTGGTTCCCATTTAGGTAGTATCGCTTTATAGCTCGGTGCTCTGGGAATCTGTGTCTTTACTTTTTCGCCCATCTTTTGTAGTCCTACTACCCCTATATTGTAACATAATAAATAGCAGCACTTTGCTATATAAGCTGAGAATTTCGGTATTTTGTATGATTTCGAACGGGATCCTCAGAGATCATGGCTCATTTTCAGAGTCATTTATTTTTAAAAAACACAATGAAAACATCGTGAATTGTGCTGAAGACTTATTATAACATTGCTAAGCATGTCTCCAGTAGCACAGATGAAATGTGTCTTAAGTTTTTCGATAATTCCCCAACTCGCGAGCAGAGATTCATTGAAGATTTCAACTATACTTTCACCTATTACTTCAACAAAAATGTTTAGCACTGTCATAATATGTCTTCAGCATAGCTTTACGACAATTTTTGAGTTTTTGCGATGATAAATGACTTTAAAAATGAGCCTGCCTGAGAATCTCGTTGGTATTGTACAAAAACGCGAAAGTCTCAGCTTATACAGCAAGTGCAGCTATTCATTATGCTACAATATTAGGGTAGTGGGACCTCCAAAAGGTGGACAAACAAGTAAGACACAGATCCCCAAAGAACCGAGCTATGAAGCGGATACTACCTGAATGGGAACCCTTGCCCGGAGACGGGCGATTGATACATACCGCCCCAGAATTTGACAGAACAGCAGCTGCAATAGTCACGTCATACCCTACATATCGGCAAAATTTGAGCGCGAAATGTTGAAAGGGAGCTAATTTATCGAAAAAGTTGTAAAACTCGTTTTCAACCTGGTAAATGCATGGTTTATTTAAATTTCTCATAGTTGAAAAGAGCATGTAGCGGTCATGATTTTTTTCTCGGAATTCTAAAAACTCAAACTTTTTGGGTTATTCGTCCAAACAAAGTGACAACAACTTTTTTATTTTAGCGGCACTAAAGTTTAAGAACGTTTTGTAATAGGCGTGATTACTTATCAAGACATCCTTGCCTGTATACGAATAACTAACAATACTTTCTAGGTGAATAAGAACCGAGGTTCCTACCTAGATTTAACAAATTCCTACGACTTTGAGATTTGTAAATGAAATATCACGCCAGAATCCCCTGCATAAGATGAGTTTTAAAGCGAACAGAATTGCTAAAGAAAAAAACCTACTGATAAATTTGGCTTACCCATCGACGTGAGCGATCTAGAATCAATGTGTGCTAAACTAGATTTCAAATATTTAGAGATGTCAAAAATTTCATGTTTTGCCGATTTTATACACAACACTTTCGAGTCGCCATTTTGATGGCGGGACGAACGTACGAGCAGGTACATTCTAAAGGGAGTTTCTCGCTTCGGACTCCGTTTTTGACTTGGCGATACTTGGTTAGTATCTCGTTATAAGCAGCATTAAAATCTCACCAATTTTTGGTGGGCGGTGTCTTTGAGTCCATGGCAAATCATCATTTCAGTATCACTTGAGTTTTTTTGATGAATAAACAGAGATTCAAGCACACTCATTTGTAAGTTATTCCCACCTTCATTATATCCGCAATTTCCACCATTCCGCACAGAGTTTTGTCGCAGTTCTTTGCTACATCCTTGCACCCTAGAATGTTACATGAAAGTGGTTTGGAAGGAGAAAGAATCTACGTGAGATTTCCTAAATTACTGCTTAGAAATCTTGAAACTGATAGAGAAAAGTTGCAGCCTGCCTGATGCCGCTGTTCGCATCTAGGTCTAGAAACCGGTACCTGCACCAGTTGCCAATGCGTCGATGATTACATTAAAATACGTTTTCATTCGAAAATGTTTACTGTAACTAGAGAAAGGAAAACAAAGCGTCTAAAATCCTTGTTCAGAAAAATCTTATCTAAGATTGACGGATTAGAGCAATTTGTATACTTTGGAGATTTTGCTCATTTTCAGCTGGAGTGTGATTAATCTCTCACACAATGTTATCTTACCTTTTTCACAAAAAGTAAGCGTGGTTACAGGTGATAATTGCCTGTTCTGACTAATTCAATAACGCGTCTTTGTATTATGTTGCCCGGAATTAATGCAAGTTCCTTACGCGCGCGGCGGTGTTAATATAAAATTGTGGAAAACACATCATTCGATAAAGCAAAGAAGTCTCTATAGGAATGCATTAGAACGATCGCAATAAGTCTGATAAATTCAAAAAAATTGAAATACTCAAAAATAAGATCTCCATCTAAAAAAAATTTCTGCGGAACTTCATCCCCATATAAACATTTACATGTGCACTTTCCGCGTTTTCTCAATGGCTGGAAAGTGAAAATTCAAAATTGCCCAAAATGAGAAAACATCGCCTTTTTGTATATTCATGCTAAATTCAATATTTCTCGGAAACTAGCCTTCGGAGAGAGCTGAAAAACTATGATTGGACTTTTAGATTTTTATGGTATAGAACTACCTATCTCAGAATGGCTCAGCATTGCGTTCGCTAAGGCATGCCAACATTCATTTTCTCAAATTCTAACCGCGATAAATATTAGGTTGATGCATAATTCCTGCACCAAAATAGGTACAGACCGCAATAACTCGGAATAATCCTATATCCCAAGTAGGATTCGATATAGCATTTGATAGCGCAAACCTAGCTCTACAAGATGGTGCTCAAATATCTACAGCAGCTTTGATCCACGCGAGGTTTTGAACCAAAAACTGAAAAAAACCATGCGTCCGAAAGAGACAGATCTTAAAAAAATTGTAACTTCGTTCAAAAAGCTCATACAAATTTTCTTTCTTGCTCACGCATAGACGTGCCACGCAAAACATTATCCGTGCGGTTGCTGTATTTTTTTCTCAACTAGACGATGAGAAAACGAAGTTTTTCATGTTTTTTCCAAAACAATGCTGAGATGTTCCAGCACTGACAGTTGTATAGTATAGAACCTTAGAAGCGTGAATGTGAATTTTCAGCTCTTTAGAGCAGCTGGTTTACGAGAAATACCGAATTTTTAGCAACTAGGCAAGAAAAATTTGGATAAGGAGAGCTAGATTCGTTATTTCTCGTGAACTAGCTGTTCTAGAAGGCTGAAAAAGTAAAGTTTCACTGCTAACGGCATGTACTATACAACTGTTAATACTAGAACATCTCAGCACTAATTTGGCAAAAACATGAAAAACTTCAAAAAACTTCGTGTTTTCATCGCCTAGTTGAGGAAAAAATACAGCAACCGCACGGATAAATGTCTTACGTGGAACGTCACGCGTGAGCAAGAAAGAAAATTTATATGAGCTTTTTGAACGAAGTTACAATTTTTTTGAGAATTTGTCTTAAGGTTTTCGGACGCATGGTTTTTTTCAGTTTTTGGTTCAAAACTTCGCGTGGATCAGAGCTGGTGTAGATATTTGAGCACTATCTCGTAGAGCTAGGTTTGCGCTATCAAATGATTTATCGAATCCTACTTGGAATATAGGATTATTCCGAGCTATTGCGGTCTGTACCTATTTTGGTGCAGGAGTTATGCATCAACCTAATATATCGCAATTTTACATATTTATGAATGTTTGATGAAGACAGTATATGTCGAACCAGGTTGTAAGTCCGCAAGATCTTCTTGAACGTAGTTTGTAAATTTTTTAGGTTTTGCTTTCGAACTTCACGTGGTTTAAACTTTTTGCGATCGTTCTAATGCAAACATGTTGAGGATGCTTTGCCCTATCGAATGATATGTTTCCCACAAATTTAGATTTACAATGCTGCGATCGACCAAGAACCTACATTAATTTCCGGAAAACCCTATAGCAACTGGCTAACGTTTTGAAATTATGTCGATCTGGATGCACTTGCTGTTTTTGAATTAGGGTTACGTCAGAGCTAGGGCCTTGCAGCTTCAGTTTTAATTATCAAATTACATAAGTTCGTTCCATGGAGTTCATATCGAGTTACATAAGTTGGAAATCTCAATCGTGTTTTGAAAAAAAGTCAAGAATTTACCTGGAATCTCTTCTTCGCACAGTCCACACGTTTTTGGACACTTATAAGCCAAATCAAGGATCTTCACCCACTCTTGGTCCTTGCATTGATTTTTCCACTGGGCGCATCCAATGCCTGATGTGTATCATTATTCTTATATTTTACGTATAACATTTTACTTCTAACAAGGGGAGGACACGAAGTCGAAATCGACTTCTCGTATGAATTTTACATCAATCTGAAGAACATCAAATGCTGATTCCAAAGCTGTTTTTGCTATTTGCCAAGCGCCTCTAGAAGAGTTATGAGCGGTTTTTGGCTCAAAAAATTGAACGTGCAACTGGTACAAATTTGTCCAAGTTTGCAAATGGCCCAACACTGGGTATCAGACCACTCCATGCATAGAAAACCCTTTATCTAATATACTCATACTCAACACTTCTTTGTTTGAATGCTGGAAAGACCATAACCATTAATTTTACCAAGATTCTCTGTCATTTTTCTCTCCAAAAACACTCATAACTCAGCGTCAAGAGGAGCTTGGTTGTATATTCCATTTGGTAAAGTTATTCACTTTGGGTCTTCTCCCGGTAAGATCGCATATATTCAAAAACCTGTAGATCTGAGTACTTCTTATAGGGCGTGTGAAAGTGTGCGCACAGTGAATACCTTATTCACTACAGCACTGATAATCTAGCTAGACTCGTTGAATACTGGTAAACTAACTCATGACTGTTTTTGTACTGTAAAGGCCGCTTCCCTGCATTGAGACCCCCCCCCCCCAGCAAAAAACTTCTGACGAGTTGCGTCAAACTAAATAACCTTTACAATCTAATGAAAGCTGTTGGCAGAAAATTGTAAGGGATGCTTTGGCGGCGCACTATGTTCTAATTTACCTCCTTGTGTTTGACTTACTTGATTTAAAGCTTGGGAATACGCGCAATTTTTTTACAGGGGAATAAAGCTACAATCAAATAAATCTATGCTGTTACACTTACTTCTGTCTTCACAGTCATAAATGGGTGACTTGCAGCATAAGGCACATGTTTTTGGACAGTTTTCCACAGCCATTTTGAGAATGTCTTTGTCAACTTTCTGTGGCGTTGCAGACGATGGATCACTCTGAAAATGATGTTTGTCGCTGTCGCTGCTGAAGTAATACTTAGTTAGAAGATAAAAGTAGATACTCCTATTTATTGTGATTTTGAAGGTCTTAAAGGCATATCATTCAAATAATTCATATGGAAATAAAACAATAATCTCGAAGCATACTAGAATACTTTAGCGAAATACACAATGAGAAGGTCCTAAGCATTGCTGCTGCAGTATGTGAGCTTACTCTACATCGTGTGGCACTAGAGCAATTGATACTTAACATTTGTCAGTTTCAGTGACAGAGTTCGCACTTCTGTGTAACTTTCACATAATTTCTTTGGAACCTTATGTTGATTGAGCTTTTTACATGCCAAATTACGTAAAAATTCACGACTACTTCAGAAAATTGACGTACCGTCCAACAATTTGAACTCCTATCGTCATCCTTTCCAATTTCCGGGTCATTTCCAGGGGGTTTGTACAGTACTTTGCAACTTGCTTCTGGAAGTTTGTCCTGGCAAGCGAACGCCTTTTCTTTATACTGGAATGTGATGTATCAACTAACTACCGTAGGAATCCCATAGCTGACGATTCCTTTGCTTTTGCATAATTTTCAATAGACATCTTGAACTGCATGCTACGTGCCACGCCTTGAGATGAGTTGGATGACAAGCAGCATGGTGCGACGTGTTCAGAAGTGGTCTCCAATTTGCAAAGGATCAATTACCCTAATACAAGTGAGAGTGCGGAGAGATTTTTTTCTAAAATCGAACAGCACAGACAAGCCGGAGGACATCGCGACCAAAAAACTGTGAATAGTGCTGCATACTGCCTGGTAGAGCTCGGCACGAGGTGGCTTCTCGTGCAAAAAACAAAATCCCCTTTGACTCCATAATGAAAGTACGATCCTTTATGAGATATTGAAAGGGAAAACACATGAAAGGGAACGGAATCAAGCAAAACAAAAAAGCACTAAAGAAGCGTTAATCAAACGCGATACCATTCGTATTCTCCGGATTGGCGGCATAATGTATCCAGATCGCAACACTAGCGCCCGAAGCAGCGTTGCCGCTGCCATTCAAAATTTTCAAGAGACTATAGCTAAGCGAGGAGGAGGAGGTTTGAGGCCTTCGAGAAGAAGTTGAGCACGCCTATAGTTCACATAATTATTTCATAATTTTTCATACTTAGTCTTGACTTCCCATTGCCCATCTACACGCCTATTTTAATGTCATTTTATCTTCACTTCGCTGTAAAAACCTCTTGTTTGTTTGGGAGAGCCTGCTGCCGAGATGTCAGCAGCGTACCGGCGGCAGATCAAAAGACAGCGGTATGCTCTTCCGCAAAAATAATATCCCCTTTGCTTTTCCCCCGAAAACGATATCCAGCTTGCTTGTTAAGCCACCCGTGCCTTGCCTTGTTGCCTAAGGGTATCATTCGGCATAAGTCTCGTTTTCCGAAGTAGAGTGAGAGGGCTGAGCAGATCGCTTGAAAAAAAAGGTGCGTCCTATACTTGTGAAATAAGAGTACACCGTGATTCTAGGAGCAGAAGCGATTTGCATGAAGAAAACAGCTGTAAAACCGTTTCCAGCTTTTGCATTTGTATCTTTTGAAATACCGTTGTTCAATATAGGTTGATGTGCTTTGCGACTGATAAATTTTACAGTATGAAAGTGTTTTGTTCCCAACAATTTTCATATTCTAAAGTTGTCTTCGTAGCATGCAATCCTTCGAAAGCGAAGCAAATGACTCGTATTTGGATAACATCGGCTATCGAGAATATGATAAGCAATATGATGCTCAAAATACATACCTTTTTATTCTTGTCCAAGCATACTTCGTATGTGACTGCACCATGGACTGCAAAGCACATGGAAACAATGACAACTACTTGAAGCATCTCCATCTGACACTCTACAAATTACACCAGCGCTTGTCTTAATTCGATAATCAAATGATTATTGCTTTTAAGAGAAAGAAAGAGAAACGTGATGATCGCTCGTTTTGCAAAACATTCTCTGTATGCTCTGCCTTTTATTCAGAAAATAAATCCAAAATTCTTCTATACGTAGCTGATTGCACAAAGTTTTTCCATTGTGAGGTTGTCTCCATCTTGTGCGTATCGCAAATTTGCTGTAACATCGTTCGACTTCTAATATCAAAAACTGGTTTGAGGATACAGTATTTCTTCTTAGCAAAGTGTATCAAGACAAGCAAGAAGTTACAACATACGAAACCAAGTCTCTCAACTGCAATGAGAATGCATACATAAGCTGAACATGGGACTATGATTTGCAAGAATAGTGTTCCACTAAACTCGCTAGAATTTTTTATCTTTACAATTTTGCTATAATAAAGGCGTTTGTGGTTCTGTTACCTTCATCTCCTAATGAGATCATAGGAAAAGTGGTCCTCTAAAATATTCTGCACAAAAAATACTCTGCTGAGCATAACTGCAAAACTTGCTCTAATGGTGGCACACCTTGGACTCTAGCAAAAATAGTTGGACATGGGCATCTAAAAAGTAATAGCTTTTTGTCTCGCAAAATCGCCGATCATAACTGCCAAACGCATGAATGTCAAACTACTTCCAATCAAATGTAAGAATTTTGAAGAGATTTACTTTTTCATGTTCAAGCACAGGTCGGAAATCTGCAACCTTCGGGATCTTGAACATCAAAAGGGACTTCGTATAAGAACGAAATATACACCTGTGTTGGGCTCAATGGGTGCTTTGTTGCTTCTTTTTGCGTAACAAATCTCACAAATTCTAGTTGAGCACAAACACCCATCACATCCATTCGATTTTTGCTCAGAGTTTTGCAAACTTATTCAGGAGATATTGCTAGTGCATATCAAATTTCTCACACACCTAGACCAAATAAAAGAATCTGTGTTCAAGCTTCTACTCTCATTTGAGAGCGTTGCGATAGAAGGAAGAGAAGTATGATAGGGTAAGTTTCCAGTACAGAGTGCTCGTTGAAAGGGAAGCACTTATCTTTTTGCATTTCATCCAAATTTTTCAGAGAAAAATCGTGATATATATAGGTACAAATCCGAGTGATAATCCATACTCTGTTAAAACATATTTTATTGCAAAGCGTGGCCATTTTTATCAGCTTGAGCAATTGAGATTCTTTTCCAATGAACGTATCCACTGCGGTTACTCATCAATCTCATGTCTTAAGCGTAATCTTCTTAAAAAACGGTTTGCAAATGCCATGCTTGTGAAATATCCAGAAAGATACGGTATAAGACTTGAGCAGGCTCCAAAGGCACTAGTTTTAATATTGGACCCATGCAACGGTGAGCGTTTAAAACCGTAACTTATTTTCTTCCTTCTTTTCCCTTTTTTCTCAGTCATTTATATCATCAAAACGATTACCTTTGACCTCTTTAAACAGCTCAAACCTTTAACCGCTCAATCAAGGATTCGCGATTCAAGCGAGTACAAGGATCAGTACGAGAATCTTAATATGTGTGAACAGTTGACTACTCAATGTTTTCATCTGGAACTATTATAATACGGAGCTCATACAAAAGCGGGTGGTTTAGTCGAGTTTTTGATTACCATTGCTCTTCCCAATCTTGGCTAGTATGTTCCCTCGTTGAAGTATTGTGAGATAAGAGGATGGCATTGATTACTGAATGATCATAAACAATTTGATTATGCTATCTTTAAAAACTTGACGGATTCATAAAGAGCCTCATGAGGCATAACAATGAATCTACAAAATTACAATGCTGAATCTCTCCAAATGGCACTTTCAAGTAGGCTCTCAAAGTTGGCTAGCAGATTTTAGGGCCCATACACTAACATCCGTGATGTGAAGAGAAGCACACCAGAAACTTCGGACCCTGATAACCCAGCAATCTTATCAGTCTTATATCTTATTAGTATTATATTCACCAACTTATCTTATAAGTCCTCTTCGGTGTATCTATTGTCCTTTACTATAAATGCACTGAACAAAACCATAAGCGCTTTCCAATAACCTGGGTAGACCGGTGATTCATTCAAAAATCTTATTGCTTTCTATATAATTTGTTTCCAAACATGCTCAGAACTTTTGTGTTAGATCATAAGCACAACGCGCAAATGACCCCGAAGACAAGGCAGTCGGCCGCTGAGGATCATCGGGAATCTTGCAAAGTGCTGGAAATCTTGTCCTAGGGATGCATTTGTGGCATCCGATGTGTTCAGGCGTGATCAGAGGTGCGATAGGTGGAGCCGGGCCCCCCAAAAGTGAAGGTGGTTCCAGCTACCACTGGCCGGCCAAAAGTGAAGGTGGTAGTGCCGGACACTCACCTCCCAAAAATGTCGGCCGGGGGGGGGGGTGGGGTGGTCGCAGGCTACCACTGGCCAGCAAAAGTGGGTGGTAATGCTGGACACTCACCTCTCAAAAACGTTGACCGGGGGGGGGGGTGGTCGCAGGCTACCACTGGCCAGCAAAAGTGGGTGGTAATGCTGGACACTCACCTCTCAAAAACGTTGACCGGGGGTATAGAGGGGGAGGGTAGGGAGGGGGGGGGGAAGCATAGAACTGAGCTATCCTTTCACGTCGTTGCCGGCCGCGAATGCCTTCACTTTTGGGTTTTGATTTTTTTTGCTGAAACTGAAAAAAAGGAAATTAAGCAAAACGAACGCAAAAGAAAGTATTGAGAGCATATTCTATGTAGTTTACTTTTAGGAAGTCGCCGTCGCCCACTGCGGCACCTGGAGGCCATCACCGACATGGACGCATATACGCCTCAGCACTTTCTCCGATAGAGCAAAGCTTCATGATGACTTCGAATAAATAAAGAGCTCTAACCCAACGGTCCTCTTTAGGGCCAATAACTGTAAAACTGTAACCCAACGGCCCTCTTTAGGGCCACAAATACGATGAACACAGCGGCATAAATATTCGAAATAAATGTGTCAATGAAATGGTGTATTTTGAAGTGAAACTCAACGACACTCTACAGATTTTATTAAGTAAATTTAGTTATGTCGTACTGCGAAGAAAGTAGGTCGATCCAGGAAGTATTTGCCGAGAACCAGAATTTTGAATGAAAAAATAACCAGAAATCACGCAAAATTGCCACTGTTATAAATTAAGTGGTTGAAGATGTCAGCAACTGCGACTTCATAGGTTTTAAAGGGTAAGTGTTGCTCTAACAGATAGTGAAAAAATCGGGTCGATTTGAGCAGTGGTCGCTGAGAACGAGAATTTTGAAAAATTAGGCGATTTTAGGCTAATTTTTGACCGCTGACATTTGAACTCCTAAAACTCTTGATTGTGAAGATGTGTGATGTTGCGACTTCATAGGTTTTCTAGGGTAAGGTTTGCCCTACTAGAATATATCTTACACGTACCAATTCATCAAAGCACCGCCGAGATCCAGGCTCTTGGAAAAGCAGGTAAAAAACAGCTTTTTGAACTTCAACAGCTCGTAACTTCTCCAGAACTCCATGAATCATGTTGCGACTTCATAGGTTAGATTCCTTTCATCAAGAGCTTTCAAATGATATATAATATGTGGGGGTTTCGCGCCTTTCACGGCATATGCCCGGGGGGGGGAGACTTTTTAGGCCAAAGTCTCCCCTGGCGGCCTCCAGCCAATACATTAAAATGGGCGAGGGAGAGACTTTGGCCTAAAAAGTCTCCCCCCCGGTCATACGTCGAAGAAGGCCCCAAACCCCCATATGTCATATATCATCTGAAAGCCCTTGATGAGAGGAATCTAACCTATGAAGTCGCAACATGATTCATGGAGTTCTGGAGAAGTTACGAGCTGTTGAAGTTCAAAAAGCTGTTTTTTACCTGCTTTTCCAAGAGCCTGGATCTCGGCGGTGCTTTGATGAATTGGTACGTGTAAGATATATTCTAGTAGGGCAAACCTTACCCTAGAAAACCTATGAAGTCGCAACATCACACATCTTCACAATCAAGAGTTTTAGGAGTTCAAATGTCAGCGGTCAAAAATTAGCCTAAATTCGCCTAATTTTTCAAAATTCTCGTTCTCAGCGACCACTGCTCTAATCGACCCGATTCTTTCACTATCTGTTAGAGCAACACTTACCCTTTAAAACCTATGAAGTCGCAGTTGCTGACATCTTCAACCACTTGGTTTATAACAGTGGCAATTTTGCATGATTTCTGGTTATTTTTTCATTCAAAATTCTGGTTCTCGGCAAATACTTCCTGGATCGACCACTTTCTTCGCAGTACGACATAACTAAATTTACTTAAAAAAATCTGTAGAGTGTCGTTGAGTTTCACTTCAAAATACACCATTTCATTGACACGTTTATTTCGGCCCTAAAGAGGACCGTTTGGTCATAGCTTTTTAAATCGAAATTCGTCCCGAAGCTATCTTCTCCGATTTCGTGGAAAGGCGGAAAAGTGGATGCGTCCATGGCGGTGATGGCCTTCGCTTCCGATGGGTGACGGCGAGTTCCTAAAACTGCAATACATATGTATATGCCTTCAATAATCCCTTTTGCGTTTGTTTTACTTATTTTCCTTCTTTATATTCAACAAAAAAATTTTCGCAAAAGTGAAGGTGGTCACTCTGTATCAGCTCAAAAGTGAAGGTAGGGGGAGACTTGGCTCCCCCTATCGCACCTCTGGGCGTGATGAAGTGTGAAGTCGCTCTATTGAAAAGTTGTCAGATTCTGTCACATAAAAGCAAAAAGTTTCTGGTACTGACCAGATTGCTATGAACAGTGGAGAAATCCTGAAAAAAGAGATGAGCACGGAGCACTCCCAAACGCAAATTTGATATCTACTTTCTCTGTCTTTGAGACCATCTTTTATAGAGAAATATTACCAAAAGCCTTTACTCATCAAATCTCAGACAGCTTTGTTTATAAGCAGAATAATGCTTTGTAAGACGACATACCCCCTCGATTATGTAATTTTGAACTGAAACTTCAGCATCCATATATGTCCGGTC